TTTTTTTTTTTTTTTTTTTTTCCGTTGCGAAGAGTCGTAAAAATTTCACTTCGAGCTTCTAACTCCTTTTTGGAATTGTAAAATATTTGAAATTTTGACGATTCTTCTCAATGAATTCTCGATGATCGAATTTCGAGGAAACTTTCTTGAAGGTGGCCAAAGTTAGAAGATACATTGCGCAAAAAATTTTTATATCATTATCGATATTCGTTAGTTTTTCGTATTTAATCGAAGTTAAAGTAGTGTATACGTAATATATATGATATAATATAATTTTATATTTTAGAAATTCAAGGTTTAACCGGAATTTCGAGAGGATGGCCCGGATTGTTTGTGGGAAACGCCTTATGCAAACATTTGCACACGATTGGGTAAACCGTAACAGATGTGTGTTGCCTGCGATGCAAATGGCAGAAGTGCGTTCGTATCGATATAAACACAAAGGACATGGGCGAGCCATTTAAACGGAAACAAGGACCTTGTGTTACCGAGAATGGAATTGGTACACGAAACGAACAGAAGGCGGGTCGAGCGTGTACCGAATAGACAGAATATTATCGGTTCATTATACCACAAACTCTCGATGGTTAAATAATCGAATTCATGATTTAGATAATTGGATCTTGTATAAATATCTGGATATGAATTTAGCGTAGTTCAATAGATATATTACGCTATATAAATTTCTATTGATAAAATAAATTATAAAATGTAGATTATTTACGTTTTCTTCTTTTTAAGAAAGAAGTTTTCTAGTAGTTTTCAATTTCTTGAACTAATTTCAACTATTCGTCTCCCTATCTATTTATAACAAGTGATTTTTGATTAAAAAATTACATTAACTTTCTTTTCTTCATCCCGAATTAGAACTTCCTTATCAAAGTTACAATCAAACCGGAACTTTTTCAAAACTTTTCAATCTTAAATTAAATTTCGCACTCATCATCAAAATAAATCGTCAAATCTCCTAGAATCTTGGAGCTAAATTGAATATTAAATTAACTCGATATTAATTAAATAATAAATCCTACTACGATCTTCTACTAATTCCATCTTTGAAATTCTATATCAAAACTTAAGACTTAACACTCCAAGAACGAAGAAATTCAAATAGTGACGAAAGATTTGTGATCTCTCGAAAGAAGACATATCTACTAATCGTTCCATTATTGCTTTATTTATTTCAAAAAGAAACACCTGACATTACCCAACAAAATAATCAACGATACGAGCCTTCAGAGAGAATCATTTCAACATACTCGATAATTCTATAACCTGTAATTAAAATTATCAAAATATATCCGTCCATATTTTCAATTCCAAACTGGCGCAACGTTATTCAACTCGATCAATTATCCTACATATTTATTATACGAACCTGGGCGAGTTGCTCCGTCGTTGCCTCGGTCGCCAGCCTGGCCAGACCCTCCTCGTACCTCTCGAGGGCCGTCAGTCTGAGGAGCAAGTTTTGCAGCAATGCCGAAACTTCCTGCCTGGCCGCAGCGTCGACCGCAGCGACCTTCTGCGTGATGGACCTGACGTGGCTCATCACCCTCTCGTCCCGGAAGTCGTACGGGAATGTTTCCGTCCATTCGGCGAGCAGTTGTACCAGTCGCGGCACGAAACGTTGCAGACGTTCCTGGAAACACAGTTTCCAAATCTGTGCATCCTCTTTTCTTTCATTTTTTATTATTTTCTACGCGAGAAGAAACAAGTTTTAGACGAGAGGGGGTTGGAAGCAGAGAGGGAGAAAAAGAGAGAAAGAGAGAGGGAAAATAAAATGGATACTTGAGAATTTTTGGTATTTGGAAGGGTCTAATAGTGGATGATATAAGTTTTGTGAAACGTATCCTTTGGAATTTTTCGAAACTTTTGAGGGATTGAAAAGGAAGAGAAGAGAATTTGAACGAAATGAATGTTTGAGAATTTTTGGTAATTGGATTTCTCGAAGATTTAACCAAGTGGGAAAGATGGAAGGAGCGAGGAAATTTTTGCTACACGAATCGTTTGAGATTTTTTAAAATTTTCCTGGAAGATTAAGGAATAGGATTAATTTAAGACTTCGAAGGGAAATATGGTATAAATGATGGAATCTTTTCTTTATAATCAAAATTTTCTAAAACTTAACTCTTTAAAGAAGCGAAAAATGGAAAGAATAGGATTCATTAGAGACTACAAAGGAATAGCTATAAAAAAAAAAATTTTCAGAAATGAATCAGAATTTCGAAAACATAATCCTGCATATATGTATAAAACGTTATATTAATCAAATGAAATAAATTAAAATCTCAATTATAAAAGTGTTCGAAGAACTACGTGGAAAAACAGAGAAAGAAATTTGAGAAAAACAGGAGAACAGAAAGTAGAGAAACGCGTTACGAATTCCAATTATCAGGCATTCCAACCCCCAACAAAAATCAAAGGAGAAAAGAAACGAGAAAAAAAAATATATATATATATATACATAAAATCAGAGAGGATATTGCCAGATAAAGAAACAACAAATCGGGAAAGGAAAAATCGTGGAGGTGGAAATTCATTTGCCAGGGAGACATTTCTGGCCTGGATACGCGTGCTCATTATTACAATCTCGCGGAACGAGAACGGGCGTGCCAGGCTGATTCTCCGAGGGGGTGAATGCGAAAAGGGGGTCGAGCCTGCCTCGAGACGATGAAACGATAATGCACGCGGTGGCCGTAAAGTGCACGCCCGGAAGGCTCTCGTTGGGC